TTCAAGATGAATATCTCGCAGTAGAACTGGAGACATAAGTGGAAATTTTGGTTCGAGTGATGTATGGTCAAAGTCTTGTTTCAGGTAAGTCCGTGTTAAAACATCTGGATCTACATCTGGTCTCTTTTATAGAAACACTGCAGTATGAAATATAATAGTTGTCCTTGGACTTCAAGAGGTCACCATTGTAGCGAGCCTCGACCCGGGAGTCAGTTCCACATTGCAAAAATTCTGTCGACTCAGTGTACGTTTTTAGCCTCTTAGCTGTGAGGTACTTGACTGGTAGATTCAAGGAGAGTAATTCGCTGGAACATCTATGAAAATAGCAGTTAAAGATGCGTGAGTGGGAAAGGTTATTGTAAAGTGGAAAATAAATCCTCACCCACAAGGAAACGATTTTGAACTCTTCCAAAATTGGAAAGTGACATTTGGAAGCTCCAGCCCAGATGAGTCAGCAATACTCGATGTTGGGCCTGATCTGGCTCTTGTAAAGGCGTGGGGTAGGAAATGGCAGAAGAAGCCAGTTACTTTTTCCAGTCTCTTCATTGAGGGATCGTGTATATGAGTTTCACTTGCGGTATCGAATGAGAGTGAGTTCCAAAGTGTGTGTGTTTGTGTGCGTGTGTTTGTGTGCGTGTGTATTTGTGTGTGTGTATGAATAAAATATTATTTCTGTAAATAACTTCACATATATATATATATATATATATATATATATATATATATATATATATATATATATATGCTAAGCTTTTATAATTATAAAAAATAAGGGATCTGTCTATCACGCTACACTAGTTTCAATCTTTAAAAGCTAAATGTTTGAACATACCGAAAGGTTGAAACCATATTGGCGTGATCGGCGGTGCCCTTTATATATATATATATATATATATATATATATATATATATATATATATATATGTGTGTGTGTGTGTGTGTGTGTGTGTGTGTGTGTGTGTGTGTAAGTACAGTTTCTGTAAATACACACACACACACACACATATATATATATATATATATATATATATATATATATATATATATATATATATATGTTGAACTTTATACTTAAAAGAAAATTAGGGATCTGCTCATCACGCTACTCTAGTTTCAACCTTTTGTCATCTTCTGGTAATCAGAGCTCAATGCCTGAATATGCTGAAGGTCGAAACCATATTAGCGTGATCGGTGGGAGCATATATATATATATATATATATATATATATATATATATATATATATATATATATATATACTTATTATAAAACGCAGATTGTGTGTGTGTGTGTGTGTGTTTGTGTCTGTAACGTTTATATATTGGATCGGATTTCTACATTTTTCAACCGATTTCAACAAAACTTCACAGGACGTCATAAAATTACCTTGTGGTGGTTCTAACAGCGCATAAAAAATGGGAAAATATAATTGTTTTTTGCACAAAATCAATTTGAAAAACACGATTAAGAGACATCATTGAAAATATAAAGGGGCCAACTCACATCAGGTTGTTTGTGTGTGTGGCTTCCTTTAAATATGGGAGCGGATTTCCTATATTTTTCAGCCGATAAAACAAAACTTCACTTTATTTTTTTTTGGCAGGTAGTGTTTCTTATTCTCTTGCACACTTTTTTCTTTATTTTTAACATTCAGAATGCTTTAAAAATTCCATTTACAAGACAATTATTTATAATAAAATTCTATTCAATCGTGAGACTCATAGCGAATGTTTTTGTTTGAGTTTGGGTTTGACCAATTCGTAAAAAAAAAAAAAAAAAAAAAACTAATTAAGACATGCGTGTCCGTCAACCTTAAACAATAATCTAACCATCTCTACTGATTGTTCGAATACAAACATCGGATAAATTCTTTATCTTTAGGGAAAGATAATGAAATCTAAACATACACAAGTCCTAACTAAAAATGATAACCGGAACGGGAAACTACTTTAAATACACATGTTGTCCAATTTTTTTACTGTATTCAATAAGCAAAAATCATAAATTGTAAAAGATTATTATTATTACAGAAAGGCTACTAAATGAATAAGATTTGTTAGATCATAATTAATAAACCCAAATAAAGTTAATATTTTTTTGTATTAGAAACAACGAGTGGAAAATATATTCAAATCAGAATTCTAATTATGACTCACCACAAGCAAAATATGCAATTTTTTTTACTGTATTCAATAAGTAAAAATCATAAATTGTAAAACTAAAGGATTACAGAAAGGCTACCTACATTTTTCAACCGATTTCAACAAAACTTCACTTTTTTTTTGGCATGTAGTGTTTCTTATTGTCTTGCACACTTTTTTTCTTTATTTTTACATTCAGAATGCTTTAAAATTCCATTTACAAGACAATTGTTTATAATAAAATTCTATTCAATCGGTAGAGACTCATAACGATTGAAAACAATATTTTTGTTTGAGTTTGGGTTTGACCAATTCGTAAAAAAAAAAAACTAATTAAGACATGCGTGTCCGTCAACCTTAAACAATAATCTTTGTCAATTTATTTTTTCAATCTTTATGATGGTGGATACTTGATATATCTCTTACTGTTATATCCCCGGGCAACATAAGGCTCTACTATATATATATATATATATATATATATATATATATATATATATATATATATTACATTATGGATTTACTCGAGTTTTTTTTTTCTCGATCGATACAAACGTAACTTTTAAGTCTAGTGTAAAGTGTCGTAAACATTCAAAAATCTCACTCAGTTTTCCTCGGCCTTATTTTCGGTGAATAACTTAAAAAGAAACAATCTCCATCTTCTGAAAGTTTTTGGAGCTTGGACAATAGTTAAAAACGTCATAAGATGAAGAGTTTGTGTGTGTCTATGTGTGTGTGTTTTTGATTTTTGTATGTATGTGTATGTGTAGAATACTCCTTTTACAGCTCGTGTCGACACTCAACGTAAACAACCTTAAATTGAGATCGAACATGCTTTCATCATTAAAAACGACATAACACAATTCGATTTTTCAAGATGAATATCTCCATTAGAACTGGAGACATAAGTGGAAATTTTGGTTCAGTGATGTATGGTCAAAGTTTTTTTTCAGGTAAAGTCCGTGTTAAAACATCTGGATCTACATCTGGTCTCTTTTAAAGAAACACTGCAGTATGAAATATAATAGTTGTCCTTGGACTTCAATAAATCACCATAAAAGCGAGCCTCGACCCGGGAGTCAGTTCCACATTGCAAAAATTCTGTCGACTCAGTGTACGTTTTTAGCCTCTTAGCTGTGGTACTTGACTGGTAGATTCAATCAGTAATTCGCTGGAACATCTGAAAATAGCAGTTAAAGATGCATTGGTGGGAAAGGTTATTGTAAATGGAAAATAAATCCTCACCCCATGGAAACGATTTTGAACTCTTCCAAAATTGGAAAGTGACATTTGGAAGCTCCAGCCCAGATGAGTCAGCAATACTCGATGTTTGCAGCCTGATCTGGCTCTTGTAAAAGGCGTGGGGTAGGAAATGGCAGAAGAAGCCAGTTTTAGGAAAATGTTTCTCTTCATTGAGGATCGTGTATATGAGTTTCACTTGCGGTATCTAATGATAGTGAGTTCCAAAGTGTGTGTTTGTGTGCGTGTGTTTGTGTGCGTGTGTTTTTTGTGTGTATGAATAAAATATATTTCTGTAAATAACTTCATTTTACATATATATATATATATATATATATATATATATATATATATATATATATATACTAGCTTTTATAATTATAAAAAATAAGGGATCTGTCTATCACGCTACACTAGTTTCAATCTTTAAAAGCTAAATGTTTGAACATACCGAAAAAGTTTGAAACCATATTAGCGTGATCGGCGGTGCCCTTTATATATATATATATATATATATATATATATATATATATATATGTGTGTGTGTGTGTGTGTGTGTGTGTGTGTGTGTGTGTGTGTGTAATTACAGTTTCTGTAAGCAAAACTTTGGGAACACACACACACACACACACACATATATATATATATATATATATATATATATATATATATATATATAGAGTTTGAGCTTTTATACTCAAAAAAAAATTATGGGATCTGCTCATCACGCTACTCTGCATTTTCAACCTTTTGTCATCTTCTGGTAATCAGAGCTCAATGCCTGAATATACTGAAAGGTCGAAACCATATTGGCGTGATCGGTGGAGCCCTAATACATATATATATATATATATATATATATATATATATATATATATATATATATATATATATATATAATTACTTATTATAAAAAACCATTGAATTTGTGTGTGTGTGTGTGTGTTGTGTCTGTAACGTTTATATATTGGATCGGATTTCCTACATTTTTCAACCGATTTCAACAAAACTTCACAGGACGTCATAAAATTACCTTGTGGTGGTTCTAACAGCGCCAAAAATGGGAAAATATAATTGTTTTTGCACAAAATCAATTTGAAAACACGATTAAAGACATCGTGAAAATATAAACCAACTCACATCAGGTTGTTTTGTGTGTGGTTCTAATTTTAAATAATGGGAGCAGATTTCCTATATTTTCAGTTTGATAAAACAAAACTTCACTTTATTTTTTTTGGCAGGTAGTGTTTCTTATTCTCTTGCACACTTTTTTAATTTTATTTTTTAACATTCAGAATGCTTTAAAATTCCATTTACAAGACAATTATTTATAATAAAATTCTATTCAATCGTGAGACTCATAGCGAATGTTTTGTTTGAGTTTAGGTTTGACCAATTCAAAAAAAAAAAAAAAAAAAACTAATTAAGACATGCGTGTCCGTCAACCTTAAACAATAAATCTAACCATCTCTACTGATTGTTCGAATACAAACATCGGATAAATTCTTTATCTTTAGGGAAAGATAATGAAATCTAAACATACACAAGTCCTAATTAAAATGATAACCGGAACGAGGAAACTACTTTAAATACACATGTTGTCCAATTTTTTTTACTGTATTCAATAAGCAAAAATCATAAATTGTAAAAAGATTATTTTTATTACAGAAAGGCTACTAAATGAATAAGATTTGTTAGATCATAATTAATAAACCCAAATAAAGTTAATATTTTTTTGTATTAGAAACAACGAGTGGAAAATATATTCAAATCAGAATTCTAATTATGACTCACCACAAGCAAAATATGCAATTTTTTACTGTATTCAATAAGTAAAAAATCATAAATTGTAAAACTAAAAGGATTACAGAAAAGGCTACCTACATTTTTCAACCGATTTCAACAAAACTTCACTTTTTTTTGGCATGTAGTGTTTCTTGTTGTCTTGCACACTTTTTTTCTTTATTTTTTACATTCAGAATGCTTTTAAAAATTCCATTTACAAGACAATTGTTTATAATAAAATTCTATTCAATCGGTAGAGACTCATAACGATTGAAAACAATATGAATTTTGTTTGAGTTTGGGTTTGACCAATTCGTAAAAAAAAAAAAAAAACTAATTAAGACATGCGTGTCCGTCAACCTTAAACAATAATCTTTGTCAATTTATTTTTCAATCTTTATGATGGTGGATGCTTGATATATCTCTTACTGTTATATCCCGGGCAATTTGGCTCTACTCTAGTATATATATATATATATATATATATATATATATATATATATATATATACATTTGGATTTACTCGAGGTTTTTTTTCTCGATCGATACAAACGTAACCTTTTTAAGTCTAGTGTAAAGTGTCGTAAACATTCAAAAATCTCCTCCATTTTTCCTCGGCCTTATTTTCGGTGAATAACAACAAAGAAACAATCTCCATCTTCTGAGGATTTTGGAGCTTGGACAATAGTTAAAAAACGTCATAAGATGAAGAGGTTTTGTGTGTGTCTATGTGTGTGTGTTTTGATTTTTTATGTATGTGTATGTGTGAATACTCCCTTTTTACAGCTCGTGTCGACACTCAACACGTAAACAACCTTAAATTGAGATCGAACATGCTTTCATCATTAAAAACGACATAACACAATTCGATTTTCAAGATGAATATCTCGCAGTAGAACTGGAGACATAAAGTGGAAATTTTGGTTCGAGTGATGTATGGTCAAAGTCTTGTTTCAGGTAAGTCCGTGTTAAAACATCTGGATCTACATCTGGTCTCTTTTATAGAAACACTGCAGTATGAAATATAATAGTTGTCCTTGGACTTCAAGAGGTCACCATTGTTGAGCCTCGAATGGGGAGTCAGTTCCACATTAAAAAAAAAAAAAAATTCTGTCGACTCAGTGTACGTTTTAGCCTCTTAGCTGTGAGGTACTTGACTGGTAGATTCAAGGAGAGTAAAATTCGCTGGAACATCTATGAAAATAGCAGTTAAAGATGCGTGAGTGGGAAAGGTTATTGTAAAGTGGAAAATAAATCCTCACCCACAAGGAAACGATTTTGAACTCTTCCAAAATTGGAAAGTGACATTTGGAAGCTCCAGCCCAGATGGAGTCAGCAATACTCGTATTGGGCCTGATCTGGCTATTTAAAGGCGTGGGGTAGAAATGGCAGAAGAAGCCAGTTACTTTTTCCAGTCTCTTCATTGAGGGATCGTGTATATGAGTTTCACTTGCGGTATCGAATGAGAGTGAGTTCCAAAGTCTTTACAAGCAAGGAGTCACACAGGGCGTACAACTTTTTATACTGACTGGAGAAAACTCAGGGTTTCCTCTACTAGCTAAGATTGTTAGTGTTTTTTACAGGCAAATTCCAAAGGTTTAACTCGAACCAGATTTTTCGGCCCTTTGTTTGGGACATGATGTACCATTTGTACTTGCACATCTACAATTTCTCTGTTAATTCATAAGTTTAAAATATATTGGGATAATGCATACTGCAATGGTATGCAAAGTTTCTACAATTGTCTTCCTTAAAGAACAGGAGGTTGTTTTAACGCCAAAAGAGAAAATATAGCTCTGGTTTTCATTTCAAAGAACAGGGTATTTACAAAGAGCGGAAAGATGTTGATATCATAGGAGTTCATGTTTGGTTTTACAAGGATTTTGAACACATGGAAACAACTTTGCTTATCGTGTGCTTCAAGAGGTAGGACCTAAGATGAAACATTTCAAAATCAAACCAAATATGATCTGGAATTAGAATGGAAGTAGTGATAACTCATACCCTGAAATCATCATGCAATGTGGAATTAATAAACTCGAAACACTTCAAATACCTCTGTGTAGGGATCAGTATAAGAAATTTAAAACAGGATAGTTTACTTTCGATGTAATTATGTATAACGTACTTCTTTTTCTTCTTCTTCATCTTTTTTCTTCTTTTTCTTGTTCATCTTCTTTTTCTTCTGTTTCTTTTTCTTTTTTCTTCTTTTTCTTTTTCTTTTCCTTTGTCTTCTTTTTTCTTCTTCTTTTTCTTCTTTTTTTCTTCTTTTTCTTCTCCCTTTTCTTCTTTTCTTCTTCTCCTTTTTCTTCCTTTTTCTTCTTTTTTCTTCTTCTTTTTTCTTCTTTTTTCTTCTTCAGTTTTTCTATTTGTTCTTTTTCTTCTTCTCCTTTTTCTTCTTTTTTCTTCTTTTTCTTCTTTTTTCTTCTTTTTTCTTCTTTTTCTGTGTGCTTTCTCTTTCTTTTTCCTTTTTTCTCTTTTTTCTTCTTTTTCTTCTTCTCTTTTTTCTTCTTTTTTCTTCTTCTTCTGTGTGCCATGCCGCTTCTATCCTTTGTTGCTCTCAGCAATGTTTGTCATTTTGCAATTTCTCATATTCCGTGTCCTGACGATCATTTACACAAGATGATAGGCAGGTTACCAGCTGCTTTACCATGTCCTTTAGTGTTAAATTTTCCAATACCTCTTTCCTCAGTATGACCGATACCAAGTATAAGTATCCATTTTAAAATTTTCTCTATAGCTTTGTCGTTGCTCACTTGCTCCGTCCTTACTATCATGAGCCTCCCTCTGTAGAATCATGTCAACGAGTCAGACCTTCTACTGAAGCTGTTTTCGATGCCAATGACAGTTTTATTAAGAAGATGCATTTCTGTATTTACCCAAGATCTCCTCACAAGGCGGGATGAGGCACAGTGCTGTTTTATTTATTATTATTTTTAACGTGGGTCGATTGCGATCTCGTAAGCTAAGGCAAAAATTGCCCGTAGACTCCATAACACGGGGTCGGGTAGCTGTCTACCTCACCAGACGAGACTCTACACTTCGGCAATCACAGAACTTATTAATTTCTATTTTTCCTAATAAAATCCCCTTTCATTCATGATCTATGCGTATTTTCATGTAAACATTATCAAAGAACTAAGGAAGAGAGTATTTCCCGGGATTGAAAGACAATTTATAGCTTTTAAAGGAAAAAAAAAAGTCACATTTCTTATTTCTGTAGGATCACATTGCTGTTGCCTCAAGACTGTTCTTCATCTGGGAGAAATTTGTTAAGAATACGATGCTTTGTAGGAGCACCGATATTACGTAACACTTTTCATTGTTTCTAATAAAATTTTCCTGTTTTTTAATAAGTTATTTAACTTCTGGAAGGCATCGTTCGCTATTTCAACACACCTTCTAACACAATTTTCCATTCTCTTTAAAAACACGCCCTACGTATTTAAATGTATGCAATATAATTGGCCCTGATCTGGCATCTCGTCTACCGTCGCTCTCTCACAGACGCGCCGTCGCCTCTGTCTGTCTTTTTTTTACAAATACTTTCATGGTAATTGCACCTCGGAGCTGCATTCGCTGGTTCCCAGACTTCATGAATTCAAGCGCCCTAGGAGGCTGACATCCCGCTCCCATCCTTACACTGTCGAAACTGCTAAATATAGCCGTCTCTTCTACTCCAATAGCTTCAAATCTCGCACCTCTCGCCTGTGGAACTCCCTTCCCTATTCCAGTTTCCCTGAGAGCTATAATCGCCAACTTTTCAAGTGTAATGTCAATCGACATCTCCAGTTGTCTGATCTTGTTACAAATCTTCTGTAACCCCTTGCGTCCTAGTGGCTTACCGCCTTGCTTGGGGTGAAACGCTTAAATAAAAAAATTAAAAAATTAAAAAAATGTATTTGCTTGATTTTGGTGTCTCAAATTCGTCGCTGGAGTATTGGATTGCTCATACACTGATCCCATTGCTGGTCAACCATACAGATTCATTTTTTATAATTTATGGTCAAACGAAAAGCACTGATCAGAAAAAAAAAACAAAAAAAAAAAAATAAAAACGTCATCTTCTTAAATAACCTACAATATCTACAATATCTCTCTATATTTCTGAGATGAAGTATTATGTACATTATTCGGATTATTGACCTCATCTTTGTCGCCAAATTTATTACAACGTTTCGGCCTTCTTCAGGTGGTTGGAATGTCGAACTGAACCCTTTATTTCGCTCACTGGGGTAGACTGTTCTAGTTCCACGTGCCATGTTTTTAATGGATGTCAGTTATCAGTTATCTCCTGTTAATTTCCCTCTGAAAGTTCTCCACTGCCTTAACCAGTTATTGAATTCACACTCTTTGGGTACTGACACTGGATCTAACCAACGCCTTTATCCCCTGTGCCATGTGTCCTAGAATGAATTGCTGGGTATTATAAACTTAATGTCTTCAGCAACCATTTTTTCTGTCCTCATATTGCAATTTTTGCTGTTATCATTGTTTTTTTTTTTTTTTTACCAGAGCTCATATTGCAATTTTTGTTGTTATTATCGCTTTTCTCTGGCACTCCTTATTACTGGTATTCACTTCTATGCTTGGTCGGGTCAGGATTATTATCTACAAGGTGATTGAAAAGTAACTCCCCATTTTAAAATACATATTATTTGTTTATCAATTATTATTTTTATAAGAAATGGATATGAGTGGAAAGTGTTTAGCATTAGGTTTTATTTAAAATTCGATATCGGCATCAGATTTCGCTACCAACTTCCCGAGCCGCCCAGGAATCGCGTCTAGTGATTTCGGCAGGAACTCTTGTGGTATGAAAGGCATAACTTTTTGTATTCGCCCTTCAAGTTCTTCTAAAATCTTGGGGTTCGATATAGTAGATTTGCTGCTTTAAGCAAGCCCAAAGACAAAAGTCCCAGGCTGGTCACTCATACATAAAATAGGCAATTACTTTTCAATCACTCTGTATATACTTGTGTAAATTGAAACACACTTTCAGGGTGTTGCAAATATTTTGAATATATTCTCTCAGTAGAATTTTTAACATAGGATTGATTGACTTGTTTTTAACGGTTTATTAACCTTTTCCAGGTTATTTAAAACCAGAAAATATTTTTAGATTGTAAGAATTTTTTTGGATTATAATGATTTACTGATACAAGTCCTAATAATTAACCCATAGCAGGAGGAAGAGGTGGATTCATAACTTCCCTAAGGATATTTGCGCGTAAGCAGATATAAGCAACCCTACTGTAAATGGAACACGGCTCTCCGATTTCCAGTTCTGAGCCGTTATCCATTGCACCATCCGCACATACAAACTTACTGTACCTGCTATCCACGAGTGGTCACCTACCTACGGAATGACCAGGCTGGACATTGTTTAACCGGTGTTTCTATATGATATGACTGTAAGCCTGTCATGGGACAATTGGTTTGTATATTTTACAAGTTTTAATTACAAAGGCTGATGAAAAAAATAAAAAGAATAACGAATAAGAAAGGCGAGATAGTCTCTGTGATCAATTATCCCCGTGAAAACCTTTCTCTTTTCTTAGGCAAATCGACTCGTGAATTTGGAAAAATATGAATTTCCTAAGTTATTTCGTTTCGCCTCGACGGCCATGGGAATTCCTCTGACTGGGACGGACAATATATCTTCGATTATATGCCATTGAAGTTGACAAGAACTATTCCATGAATAAAAAATAGTATCAGAGTCACGTCGTTAAGTAATTAATTCGATGTTGTTTCGAATCTCTTTAAGGGTGGTGTTTAATTTTCTAAATATGATTGATATCGGAATTTTATAGATGATGAATTATCTGTCTATATATTTGAGATGAGGTCTTCTAACTATTTATACTATCGTTTAATGTTTAATGGATATCAGTTGTCATTTATCTCCTTTTAATTGCCCTTTCCAAGTTCTCCACTGCCTTAACCAGGTATTGAACTCACACTCTTTGGGTCCTGTCACTGGATCTAACTAACTTTATCCACTGTGCCATGTGTTCTTGAGGAGATAACTGACATCCGTTAAACATAACACGTGGAACTAGAACAATCTACTCCAGTGAGCGAAATAAAGGGTTCAGTTCGACATTCCAACCACCTGAAGAAGGCCGAAACGTTGTAATAAATATGGCGACAAAGATGATGACAAAAGTTCGAATAATGTAAATAGTGTACATAATACCTCATTTCAGAAGTATAGATAGATACGAGTTATTCTAAGTCTCACGTATGATTTTGTTGGACAAAAAATATTATGAATTTGAATGTTGCCACTGGATATATTTGGACCAATCAGAATAAACTCTTTTTAATCCAATCAGAAGAGAAGACTGATATTCCTGTACAATCAACTAGCAATTCATCAGCAAACGATACTAGAACCGGACGGGATTTATAAATAATCAGAATTCAACTGTCATTTTTCCGTAATCAAGTGGGTTTCTTTCGAAATTAGTCATGTATTTAATCTCAATTACTCATTTTAGTAGATTTCACTTTCGTCTTGTTTTCCAGATCTTAACTGAAATTAATATTCACTTCAACACTGCTTGTAAGCCACTTTACGTTTATTTGACAGCCAGTGGTTACGTTACCAATATCTTAATTTCGACTTGCTCACGATGAATTTGTTTCTACTTATTTTCTGTTTTAATCATATATCGTTTTACAAACGGGGTCATACTTAAATATATACGAAGAACATGGTAAAATTGATCGAATATCAACTTAAAATCCCCAAAGATTATGGTTTACCAACAGAACTCACAATGCACGAATTCCTATGCAACATATCATATCTGAAAATGGAAGTTCCCTCGCTAGGCGAACAAAAACTACAGTAAAAGTTTTAATCCTACTTTCTAATACAATTAGCCCTTCAAATGTAAAAAAAATATATATTTTTGAAGGATTAACCAACATACGTATTTTTTTTAAGGCATTTCACCCCAAGAGGCGTGTTTGAGGAAAGATACAGAGAAGGACGGGGAACAAGCTCAGGATATGAGATGTCAATTGGCATTACGCTTGAATAATTGAAGATTATAGTTATCGGGGAAGAAAGTAAGGGGAAGGGAGTTCCAAAGACGGGAAGTGCGGGAGAAGAAACTGTTTGAGTAGAAGAGACGGGTATATTTTAAAAGTTTTGACATTGAAATGGAACTCGTGTCTAGATATTCAACTCTCATACCAAGACAAAGAACCGATCTTCTTCTATGGGTGAAACAACAAGGTGGGGATCATGGCTCTCCACGATTTCCTTCGTAGCTCTTAATAAATTTTGTCTTTTTGTTAATGCTCCTAAACACTGTTCCGTCATCCATTCACTCAAGGTCGATAATAGGTTGTTTCCCACTGTTCATCCGGCCTTCAATCTGCCCTGTGCGTATTAGATTTTCCAAGCCTTCTTTTCTCGTTATGTACCTTGGAAATTCCAACTGTTTCTTCCTGATGTTATGCATAAGTTTCCTTTTTGTGTTCATTTTCTCTAAAACTTCGTCGTTGCTCACATGTTCAGGCCATGGTTTGAAATGCTAAGAAAAAAATGTTATTGATAGTTATAAATTTTTTGTAAATGCACCTGAAACGGGTTCTGTTAGAAATAATTTAAAAAAACTAACTGTTAAAACTCCATGTTTTTATCTAAGGGAGGTAACCTTCATTTATATAATTCTTTTTTTTTATGATTAAAATTTAGCTATTTTATAAGTATTGCCATTATAACTAAGCGCGTTCTTTTCCCCCGAACGACTGCTCTGTGGAATCGAGTCCGAAGATGTCAAACCGATCACTAGAATCTTAACCTTTTCAAGGCTAGTGTTAACCGTTATCTTACACTCTTATCCACAAAAATTGTCTCCAAACTCAGCCCTCTAAATCGAGATGCCTTGTAAAGGGTGAAACTTGCTGTCGTACGAATGACGGCTATCTAAAATGTACTATAATTAAAAGCCTTCTAAATATACATATAGGTAAGACTTTACCTAGATAACCGATTTTTAGCTTCGTCTTAAAATAACTGAAACCTTTATCAGCCCGACTTAATTTCGCAGAGTAAGGAGGACGAGATGTTTTTAAACAATTGCCTTAGGATTGGCAACTATGGTAAGCGGGAAGAAGGAGGAATAAAAATAAAAATAAAAATAATGGTTCTAAAAAATCGTTTTTCTCAGTGGAGATATGAAACCGAAATCTAATAAGCCAATGGGTAAAACAGAAAAAAAAATGTCAACCAGAAATGTATTCTCTGTGAACATAGCAATTGGGAGTTAACCTCTTAAATTATAAATATTCAAGAACAATTTCAGATGTCTGACGCTGAAAAAAAAAAAAAATTCAACGTTGGTTGAATATTAAACAGTGTCACAGCATATACAAAACAGACTGCTAATCTCTACATTAAGAGTGACGTAATTATATATATATATATATATATATATATATATATATATATATGAAAGGTTGTTGAAAAAGGTTCGTCAACCAACCCAGTGGCACGCCCCCACCAAAAAAAAAAAAAAAATCCAAATATATATATGTTCAGAATTTAAGATTTTCAGTACCTCTAACGCGCGTGTGCGCACACACACGCGTGCGGTTTTATACACACACTCTCGCGTGCACACGCACACACACACACTCACGCACGGACATCCATCCATCCATCTATCTATCTATCTATCTATCTATCATACTTAAAAAGCAGTGCTGAAAAGTGTTCGTTCTGACGAAGGAGCCATTCTCGCTAATTCTAAAATTTGGTTTTACTTTGGAAAACAGTGGCGATTGAGATCATTTATCTCGCGTCTGTGCGCGTATATATATATATATATATATATATATATATATATATATATATATATATATAAACAAACCAACATAAATTAAGTGCGAAAGGACGAAATGCGAGACAAAGTAAACTTTTCCCACTATGCCATACAATTTCTCCAATGTTGTTCTTGAAATATATATATATATATATATATATAGATAGATAGATAGATAGATAGATAGTTAGATAGAGAGAGAGAGAGAGAGAGAGAGATGGGAGGCAGAAAAGCGACAAAGAAAGTATGAGAGAAGAGGTATGTGTTAACGGTAACATTATATTTAGAACTGTGATGTATCATTTTGTGACTTGGCAGACCTATTCTAGTGCAACGTATCTGAAACTGAATCTCGCGTGTAAACATTTCAAACCTCATTGGGGTCACCTCGTAATCTGGGATTATGAAAGAATATACATGTAAATTCTAATACATAAATAAATTAAGACGTAGACACGATAATAAATCACTAATCCAATAGCGAAAATGAAAAATGATTTAAGCAAACGTGTATGTCTTTCAACAGTTGACTTCTTTGTTAAGGCAGAAAACAAAAAAAAAGCTCTTTTAATTTTATAGTCAGAAATTTATGGTGTAAATTTCAATTCAATTTATCCTCCCACGTTTATCTCTCTCTCTCTCTCTCTCTCTCTCTCTCTATGTATATGTATATATATATATATATATATATATATATATATATAAAAAGTGAATTTATAAGTCAACCTTAGAGGCGACTGTCTCTTCATACTAGATACAATCGTGGCCTGACGATTGCATCTAGCATGAAATCATGTCAAACTTCTATTCACTTATATTTATACACGCTCTATCTCTGATATTGAGCACTTTATCCCATACATATACACACCTTAAGACGATATTTCTTTTATATATATATATATATATATATATATATATATATATATATATATATATATATATATATAAAAGTGACCATAGAAGACTATGTTCACTTTTATATTTACACACTTCTGTCTCTGATATTAAGCACTTTATCCCATAAATATAGCACATCTTAAGACTATATTTCTTCACACACACACACACACACACACACATATATATATATATATATATATATATATATATATATATATATATATATATGAGGGAGGGGTTATAGTTGTTTCAACGACAGAAAATGGTATATTTTAAAGAGGAAACCGCAAACATTTTGGCTTATAATGTGGATTTTTAATTATATATTGTACGTTAGTATAATCCAAGTGACCAAAACGAAATTTGGATTACTACTACACACAAAAGTCAATGGTTAGACATCGGTAAACATAATGAAAATTAATTCCTTTAAATAATATGTGGAAAGATTCACTCTTGGCCTGATGAAGCTCACAAGGGCTGATATACATGTAGGAAAATAGTAATAATACATATTTAAAAAAGTATAATACATATTTAAAAAATCAACATTATATCCAAAAACGATTTAAGAAACAACAAATATTTTTATATATAGAGCTCAATATTAAAAGTATTAAAATAATATTAAAATAGAGCATTAATAATAGTAATAATATTTATATATATATATATATATATATATATATATATATATATATATATATATATATATATAAAGTATATGATTGGTATATACGAAATGAATTCAATAACCAACAAATACTATTCTTAAAAGAGTGCTCAATACAAAGTAGAGGAGATATAATGCTTTATTTAAAAAATTATAACATAAATATGTTATAAAATCACTACAAAAATAGCCATTTTGTTTCAACACTCTCAGTGTCTTATCAAGTGATAAGAAGAAGTGGAAACTAAAATGGCTATTATGATTATAACATATTTATGAATTTTTTTAAATAAAAATATCTGCTCTATACATATTTATATTATAATTTTTTCAAATAAAAATTATATTATATATATATATATATATATATATATATATATATATATATATATATATTTCCGGAAGAAAAGTTAAAATCTGCGATAATAACGCATCAGTTGTGTTGTTCGGTTTTCCGTGGCAAGTCTTTTGTACCGTTACTTTTATCGACAGATCCAGAATTGTGGATCAACTTCATCTTGGCATTTGGAATGTACGAACTCTCCAGGAAAACAACTCAGCACCAGACGGAAAAACCTCTGGTCGCAGTGGGGCGTAAGAAGTACAAAATTGATATAGCTGCACTGAGAAGTAGCCATCAGTCGACTACATGAAACGAGGAAGCAAAATAACACATCTAACAATGTTCCTGTTGCATTCTACTGTACTGTATTCTACTGTACTGTATTCTAATGTACTGTATTGCATGTGGTTTTTGTGCAATCCTCGAGCCGGTGTCAAAATTCATGCCCGTCATAGGCATGCAGATAATTAATCGTCAGAACCTCATGCATCGAACTCGATATATATATATATATATATATATATATATATATATATATATATATATTATTTTAATCCTCTCGAATTCTCTCATTGACTTCTTAATGTTGATATTAAATTCATTAAGTTACGCGCTGCAGGTTTTTAATTTTCCATTTTTTTCCTCAAGTAATTTCAATCTCATCCAAGATCATTATCAGAGGTGAACTGCTAAGAAAAAACTTAATGTAATTGATAGTTGTAAATTTTTTGTAAATGCTCATAAAACGGGCTCTGTTAGAATTAATTTAAAAATTAACTGTAAAGCTATTATGTTTTTTCATGTTTTAAGGTAGATAACTTCAATTTATATAATAGTAATTTTTTTTAATTACAATTTAAATAATTTAAATGTATTGTCATAATAACAGAGCGCGTTTCATGCGCATTTACAAAAAAAAAACTAAACTTCTCAGCTATCAATTACACTAAATTATTGTTTTAGCAATTCAGCCTGCAAAAAGTATTTAATATCAGCATTAAGGAGTCAGTCATAAAATTCGAAAGGATTAAAATGAAAATATACATAATAAGTGCAGATTATTCAAGCAAATATGTTTAAATGAAATTAATCGGCACATGATTTCATTGTGCTAATGTCGAAAGTAATCGGAATAAAATATTATTTGTTTTCACGCCGATTTTGGTCCTTCCTTTAATAATGACACCAAAAAGATTGTCCGTGAATATGAAAGGATCCAATTGAAAATAAGTAGACAGAACATGTTTCAATTATTCAACGAAGCATGTCGCTATATATATATATATATATATATATATATATATATGAAGAAATATAGTCTTAAGATGTGCTATATTTATGGGATAAAGTGCTCAATATCAGAGATAGAGCGTGTGTAAATATAAAGTGAACATCGAAGTCAACATTTAGAGGCGACAGTCTGTTTCATGCTAGACGCAATCGTCAGGCCTGACGATTGCGTCTGCATGAAACAGACTGTCGCCTCTAAGTGTTGACTTCTATATATATATATATATATATATATATATATATATATTGGGCTAAGTTTGGGCAGACTCTATATAGAGCTGCTTTAAACTAACTTGGAATTATATATATATATGCGTGTGTGTGTATAGGTGTGTGTATTTGTGTGTATACACACACACACACACACACATATATATATATATATATATATATATATATATATATATATATATATATATATATTTAAAATATATAGAAAATAGGAAAAGAACTTGTTAGGTAAATAATTCCAAAAAATTTTCTCTTGAAGATGGAACAGAACTTGGTACTTTAATTCAATTGAATTCAAATAATTATATTGAAGTTTTCGGCTCTTGTTTTGAACCATGAGAACTCTTATGTAGCGATGGAATCATATTTTAAATAAATAATTATATATATATATGTGTACATATATATTTATATATATATATATATATATGTATGTATATATATACACACATAATAAATATATACGTACACACATACACATACATATATGTGTTTTTGTGTATTAGTGTGTGTATGTGTACTCCCATTTTAATGATACATTTGATAGGTTTGCTAAAGTCAAATTGGCAGCTGATATGGATAATGATCTCCCTGTTGGTTACTTGGCCAGGAAATGACCTGCTAATTTTAAGGCCTATAAAACTAAAACGCTCTGTTTAATTGGGTAAAGGACCTTCCCTGATTTCCATCAACATGCAACCCCCCAGGAGATTAACTCAATGCGCTTTCCGGTATGACGTCTTATACTGGTATGAAATATAATGATTATATCGAGGCCTTTTCTAAGTCTGATGCCCGGGAAAGCTCGTTCGTTCGACAGTTTTTCGCGCCAGAATCTCTGTTGCACCTACCATCCATCGTTGCATTTGAAAACTTCTGCCACACTTTGTCTGTTGTGTCTTGTATGAATATAAACCTTCCTGATAAAATCCAAAGAATAATTTGACGTAATATTTGTCATGATCTGTCATCTCAACTTCAATCACTTTCTCACTGCCTTAACGTAGCTTCCCTGTGTTTTTTTCGATAAATATTTTCATGACGATGATTCTGCTGAGCTTCTACCTTTGGTTGCTCGATTTCATGAATTTAAGCGCAGTACTTGATTGGCAATTAGGTCTCTTCATTTTTATTGTTTAGTGTCCTTTAAGCCCAATAATCTTTTCTCGGCTTTTACACGCTTAGTAACACCCTCAGCTGGCTGTTTCATCTTCTTGGTTTGAAATGATTATCTATCTCTCTCTATATATATCTATCTGTTATGTAGTGGTTTCACAGTGGAGGCTTGTATTTGTACTAAGTCGGTCCTAAAATAGGCTCGACGTACAAAACGTTAGGAACTTGATATAATAGGTAATGACGCAGAGAAATCTAGTTGTGGTCGCTGATACTTTAATATCCGACTAACGGTCGTCCGACATCGACTGAGTGACCAACTATCTGAGGATATTTAGCCACCCCACTAGAAATAGCTAGATGTAACCGTAAGTTTAACTTAACAGTTTCCTATCTCACACTTCTCGCTTGTGGAACTGTATTCCGGCTTCTTGCTTCTCAGTCAAATTTGATCTTCAAAAAATTAAATGTAATGTCTAAGTTTCTGCCTTTTTAATTCTTGTTCCTTTATTGTTCGCTATCCTTAATAGTGTTTTTTTTTTCTCTCATATTCTCTCAAACTCGGTAGTCCCTTTCATCTTAGTGGCTTTATGGCCTTTTTTGGCGTGAAATTAAAAAAAAATTAACGCTCTGATTCTGAATTCATAAGTAGCAATCGATAGTAACACGTCTTTGTAAAGGTTTCAAAGGAAAACGAATAAAAGCGTTATTCTTCTTCTTCCCCCTCCTCCTCCTCTTTTTCTTCTTCGTCTTCTTCCTTGTTGCCTTCTTCTTCTTCTTCTTCTTCTTCTTCTTCTTCCTTCTCCACCTCTTCTTATTCGATGTCTTCTTCTTCTTTTTCCTTCTCCTCTTCTTCTTCTTCTTCCTTGTCTTCTTCTTCTTCCTCGTCGTCGCCTTCTTCTTCTTCCTCGTCGTCGCCTTCTTCTTCCTTCTCCTGTTCTTCTTCTTCCACGTCTTCTTTTCTTCTTCTTCCTATCCTCCTCTTCTTCTTCTTTTTCCTTCTCCTCTTCTTCTTCTTCTTCATCGTATCGCCTTCTTCTTCTTCTTCTTCATTTTATTCCACGTTGTCGTCTTCTTCTCTTCAGGTGATCATGGCAAGCCACAACTTTCTGTTCGTTGTGCATATTAGCATTTTTTCTGCCCTTTTTTCCTCCTCGATGCACACTACTTGCGGAGCGGCTATGTTGACACTGTAACAGCAACAGGAAAACTAGCGCGATCAAAATCAAACTCCCATGACATGACCACACTAACTATAAGCACACATTAGCAGAGAGACATGATATGGCGAAAGTGCGGATCATTTTTGTCTTACCCTCGTATGTAGAGATCCATTTCTATTTTATTCCTACTCAAAATAATTTTGTAAAAATGCTAGGAATCTTGCGAATCGTTAGAAAGAAATTATTCATAATGTTGGCGCATATAGCGATGAATTAATTCTAATGAAACATCGATTTTCCATGACGTTCCTGGCGCCAAATTCCGACATTAAGACGAGGATGACCTTTTAATTGAAGAACAGTCGTGTGTATGAAATGACATCACCTGTGTCACGTGGGAGGTTGTCTTTCTTTGCTAGGAATGAAAATCTTGTATATTAACTACAATTTGTATTTATAGATTTACATAATTTAAAAAAAGTAAAGCGGCCATTTTTTCTAGAGATTGAAGAAATCTGTAGGGTAGACAGAATTTTTTTTTAATTCCCCTATAGAAAGAATATGTTTTCAAGAACCTTAGAAATTTCAAGTGTTCTCCAGAATACTAAAGAGATAAGTAGATGATTTCATTGGCGATATCGTCATATTATTGTGTTTATATTGAAGTGTTCGAGTAAAGGATACTTTTACATCAACTTCATTAAGTAACGCATGTAAACATTAGGATACCAAACAGCTTAATGCTGTAATAGTGTGTGTGTGTAAAATAAAGGAGAAAGATTTAAGGTTACGGATTAAAAAAGAAAAACTAGAGTTCTCCAGAATAATAAGCAGCCACACGATTTGTTAGAATTATATCGTAATTATGAAATATATATTTGACAGGGTAAGTTGACGGTACTTTTCATTGGCCAGTGAAATAACGAATTAGCAAATAACCAGAAATAAAAAAAATAAAAAAAAAATTGAAAAAAGAATTCTCTTCCTCAAAGATGTTTCAGTGAGAATCTTTCGCTTGGTAGCGTACAGATTGGCCTGAAAGAAATTTCTCTCGTCAACTACGCCCGTTCCGTCACTGACAAGTAGTCGGCAAATTTTCCCAACTGGGCAACAATAAAGGTAACCAATACAAACCATATGCGCTGTGCTATATGTATAGGGGTATATGTGTATGTATATGTTCGTACGTAATATACTTTTGTATGTTTCTATATGTAGTGAAAAATGTGTGTACACATACGTCTGTATGTATTTTTTTATTATTTTATTTCACATATTGTTATATATTTGTACTCGTGTATGTGTACTAATACGTATATAAGTATATATTAGATATTTATATATATATATTTCTGTGTTTGGGAGTTTTCTTTTTTACATATTAGATAATGATATTTTTATGCGTATATATTTATTTTTCTATTTATTTCTATATATTTTAGTGTCGTTTTTCATTGACGAAGATTTGTTTTTCTAATCTACCCATATTAAACTTTGTCTATACAACCATTTTTATCTATATATCTTTTTCTGTATAAGTTATATTTCAATAGTATGTTAGTATTCGTTTACTAACACTTTCAAATTTGAATATTTCTCGGTGGGTATATGTGTGTGTCTTTATTAATATATGTGTGTATAATCTCTTATGTGTACCTTTCATTTTATGTATATGCTATGTGTGTTTTTTTTTAAGGGTCATGGACACCTATTTCCCGTCTCGTCACTTTTTGCCTTGTTCATATATCTAAATATGTCAACGTGTTTATGTATTATAATCTGATTTTATTAGATTTTAACGTTTATTCCAACATAATTTTTGGCCTTTCACTAAAAACAAATATATAACAAAACATATATTTTTCCTTAGTTTCTTCTTTAAATAATTTTATAATTTTTTAAACTTAATAAACATTAAATTTAAAATTGCTAATTATTCATTTTTAATTTTATTGTATAATTTAATATTAATTACTTAGAATGAATTCTATTTTAGTCTAACCCTAACATTAAATCATTAATTAATTATCATAACCAAAGTTCGTTGTCAAGTTTTTGAATTCTCATATACTTGTATTTTGATTGGTCATTTCAGCTTATGTAACTGAGTTTCCCCTAGCGAGGGGTGTTTGATTGATTTGAACCTTTTAAAACTCTTTATTCTACATTCAACACCATCACTTGAGAAGACACCAGAAGTGTTGAAACAAAATGGCTATTTTTGTAGTGATTTTCTAACATATGTATGCTATAATTTTCGAATAAATAATATATATATATATATATATATATATATATATAATTATTTTTATAAAAATAATTATAACATAAGTATGTTATAAAATCACTGCAAAATAACCATTTGTTTCTTTCCTGTGTCTTATCAAGTGTATGACTTCCTGATGTTATCAGACTGGATCGAGGTCGATTCTAGCGTGCAGCACCTTTGGAAAGTACCTGAAAATCATACTTCGGGTTGAACCAAGCCTTATACGTCAAAATGTGTAGATGGAACTCTTGGGGTCTGTCGATACCTGTGCTAGCACGAAGCCACAAGTCAACGTGGTGTTGTTCAAATTGGTGATCCCGTTAGATAACACGTTTCTCCCAGAGACTGTTACTAAGGTCTGTGCCTGAGTGAGCGTCTGAAATAGGGATCGGCTAAACACAGTAGTAGTTGGGTATCCTCGAATACGCGTGGTCAGCTATTACATAACCCATCTGTGAGAAAACATTTTTAAATTACTTCATAGAATAATTTCTTATTTAGTGAGATCGATTCTAACGGGCAGCCCATTAAACTTAGACGTAGAATATACATACACTATGAGAAATCGGGTCAATATTATATTCTCGTGAAAATGACAATGGTTCTGGAGAATTGCAAATGTCTTGCAATGCTTATTGAAGAAGTGACAAACTAAATTATTTTGTACAGGTCTTGGCATGCTTTGTGAATTTTGTTCAGCTTGCCCTGGTTTTTTTCATTTGATGGGTGAGACGCCAGGTTTGTCAAGTTATTTTCTATCGTAGAAATGATCTTAATTTTCGAAAGATCTACCAAAGAGTCTTGTAGCTAGTGCGGCCTGCATTGGAACAATATAATCCGTCACGTTCATCATACTTAAATTGATGGTTTCTGGCTCAATTATTTTCCATTTCCTAGTTACACGCCTGATATTTGCCTAATACATTGCATGTTCGAAATACATACATACATAAATATATAGTGTATACAATAAGATCCACATGGCAAAATTACTGCTAGTTTCGCGGTTTAATTTTTAATATTTACTATGATCCATAATGAATATACCGTGTTTTAACAGCAAAATTGTCCAAATAGTCTAACAGCAAGATTGACCAATTGTTAGATTAAGCGCTGAACCGTTATATCTTACAAATGATTAAATATATTTTACTGGAATTTTCTGAGGCTTGTATCACATTATTGGACTCTGAGCAATAAGAATATATACTTAATCTCCAAGCTTAACAGAAGAATCGTGATGAAATCGATCATAAAGAAAAATGACATGTTCATCATTAATTAATCAGAGCTAAGGATCGGAAGTTCATGAAGGATTAAAATAAAGTTCAAATATTCATATATTATTCAAGGATCATTTTCCAACTTATTCAAGATGATCTTCGCCCTCTGTTATCTTCTAACCTTTTATCCTGTAGTAACAAGTTATCTCACAGGATTCATGTAAAATTTTATTTTCAAGTCTTTTTTCAGTGCTCTTTGGATTGCCATACCTGAAACTCTTCTCTTACGTACAAAACGACTTATGGATTGAGTTGGATCTTTTCTAATTAACTGTAAGTTGAAATGATGATCCCTTTCCCTGTTGAGACCTCCTGACTCAGTTTTTCAGTATTTTTCTCCATCCTAATGCAAGTTCTCCTGGATATGACGATAAACTACACGCACATCCAGGGTAAATCGATAAATTACGTCCGCGTCCAGGGTAAGACGATAAACTACATCCGCGTCCAGAATAAGACGATAAACTACATCCGCATCCTGGGTAAGACGATAAACTACATCCGACAGCAAGATCTATGATAAGGAGGTTTTGAGGAGCGTAGAACCATCTCTTAATTACTGGTGTTCCCTGCTCCACCCTGACCCAGGGTGGTAGCACCTGTTAGGGTCCCAGCTATGGGCAAATAGTTAGCCCCGAAAATTGAGGTAAAAAGCATTATAGAAGTGTAAGAATAGGTTTTAATACCAGAAATATTTTGTAAAAGAAATTAATTTTGAAAAAAAATAAAAAAAATACCAACAATACATGTGTTTGTACTCAAAAATATGAGTAATTGAAAAATGGTTCAAATATATATATATATATATATATATATATATATATATATATATATATATATATATATATATATATACACCTATCGCTATGAATCTATTTCAAAATTTTGTTGGCATTAAATGACCCACTGAGGTTGATATGCCATAAAACAAAACAATCAACCAACCCAATGCAACTTCAAATTTCCCTGTTTCACCTTTCTCCTCTATTAATACGCTTCATAGATATCTAAATTATTGCAGCCGTTTGATTTTGGTATCTCCAATCTTTAATTTTCATGTTGGGTTCTCCCTTTTGCTATTAACGATGCGTTAAGTTTCTTTCTTAAAAGAATGAAATATTGCATTGCAAATGTGATTCTGGTGGAACAGTTTCGAGACGTACATGAAATATCCATATTTCAAAAAACTTTTCTATATATAGATTATCTGTTTCATGCCAGACGCAATCGTCAGGCCACGAGTGCATCTAAGTGTTGACTTCTATGTTCACTTTTATATTTACACACTCTCTATCACTGATATTGAGCACTTTATCCCATAAATATAGCACATCTTAAGAATATATTTCTTCATATATATATATATATATATATATATATATATATATATATATATATATATATATATATATATGTGCAGCCACTCGTCTTCATAAAGGTGGATAGATAAACAAATAGGCATGGTGCGTATCACACGTCTGAAAATGTGACGCAGATTCTTTCCAAAATTTCAATAAAGTATTCACAAACGGAGAAATCTTGATAGAAACAAAGAAATCTGTGCTGAACGGCTACTTCATACATATCCTACGTAGCAGTAAATGATGGATAGTTTCCTCACAGATGAAAAGAGGTTTAAGGCAAAAGAGGTTTAAGGCAAAAGAGTTTTAAGGCAAAAGTGTTTAAGGCAAAAAAGGTTTAAGAAGTGAAATGAGGTTT